AAAAAAAAAAAAAAATGCGTTCGTGAAAAAAATCCCAGCTGAACATGGACAGACAGAAAGTTAAGAAAAAGTTGCCTCCCTCTCCCTGCCCACCATCTCCTGGCCCGTCCTTAGGAGCAGCTGCTGGCTGCTGCTGGTCATGTCCTGCGTGCAGAGGGGCCATGTTAAGCCCTTGCTGACCATGTCCTGGACACGCTGGTGTGTTGAGCTCCTTGCTGGCTGGGTCCTAGACAAGGGGGCTGTGCTGAGCACGCTGCCCACAGCACAGTCTGTGTGGGGGTTTCCTGTCCCACAGGCAGGGGGACATCTGTGGAAGAACTGGTTAACTTACCCTCAGAGCTCTGACCTGGAGGTGCTGTGCTTCTCGGCTGTCAGTGGCTGGGAGTGGGCTGGCCTCTGGCTGTGGTCCCTCTGGTCCTCCTTGGGTTTTTACGTGTGTTGCCATGCAGACTTACCAGATTGCTTCCACAGGCATAGTTGACTTAGTAGTGTGTGGAGAAAGGGTGTCACTGTTGTCACTTGAGAGTTGGCCATGCAGTTCCTGGTCTGGCTGAGGGTCTGGACGAAGCATTCCAAGCACATCGCAGAAAAGGTGGGGAGACAGCTCTGCCTGCAGTGGCCAAGCAGTCTGGGTCTGAAGGCTCTGCTGCTGGGCAGGAGTCGGAGTACTCCCTGTAGGGTCACTGGGAGGGTGGAGGGAAGGGCACCCCTGCAGTATGCCATTTCCTGTGTGGGGCAAAGAAAGCCTCTCGCACAAAGCACTTTTCACAAAGCTGTTCTGGAAAGCTGTTTGGCCAAGAGAAGTGAACCTGGACAGCCTTGTCTTTCACCCTCTGGGACTCTGGGAGTCCTGGCCGGGTTATGCCACGTCACAGTGGCAGGTTCTGGAGCCACGTTTTATATTTGACCTTTTTATGTAAAAATAATTCCTCAAATTGATGAGGACGATGTGGTTAAAATATTCCATGCGAATAGACATTTTTTGTGGGGGCATTTGGGTTGTGTAGCTTTTAAAAATTATTACTTACTATTATAAAAAGGGCTTGCTGGTAACTTTTTCCTTTTTAATTTTTATTTTACAGCATACCCCTAAAGTTCAGTTATCAGCTTAAAATACAGAAACAACAAAAGTATAAATGAAAGAAAGCATCTTTGATTTTTGAACACTTTGAGGGGCCCTATCTGTGATTCATTCAATCTGTCTTTCTTTGGTGCTGCCGTAGGATTTTTTTAATCACCTTTCTTGAGGTATAATTTACATACCTCAAGAAGTACACACAGTTTGACCAGTTTGACAAACGTGTATACCCACGTAACCAGAACATTTCCATCTTCCCAAAAGGTCCTTTCCTGCCAGTCCCTACCTAGCCCCTGGCCCCAGCAACCTCTGAGTTGCCTTGCATCCTCATAGATCTTTCTCAAGGTGTTGTGCGGACGGGATTGTGCTACCCTTTTGTGGCTGGTTCTTTGCCTTTCTTTCCCTCAGCAGGGTGTTTGCAAGATTCAGCCATGTTATTGCACATTAGGAGTTTGTTCCTTCTTATTACCAAGTAATATAATACTTGATTGTCTTAAAGCTGTGTGTTTTTAGTACCAGCATGGTACACCCTGTCTACCTACTGGTCATTCTCTAATCCCTCATGGAAACTTGTTTCGGATTTAAGGCGTCCATGTTGCCTTGACAGTGTGTGTCTGCAGATTAGAAAACGCACTGAGAAACTTTGCCTGTCTGACTACCGGGGATGTGATTGCCATCAACTACAACGAGAAGGTGAGCCCTGCTCCTGCTCCATGTGGTTGCACCTGACAAGAGCCCCCACCCTCTAAAATGACTATTTTAGATAAGGCAGAAATTTTAAAAGGTAAAAAGACTATGAAAAATTTTATATCAGTACCAGAGATACCTTATTTTAAGTTGATAAATTCCTTCCTGTAAAAAAGTGTAACTGAAAATTGACTCAAGCCTAAATAATCCTATAACCAGTCAAGAAATTCAACTGGAAAAGTCTTATTCAAGTAAACCCAGGCCCAGATGGTTATATATGCAAACTCTTCCTCACATTCAAGAAATAAAATTGTTCTTAAATATTCTAAGAGGAGAGAGAGAATATTCCCCAATTCATTCTTTGAGGACAGTATAAGCTTGACCACCAGAACTAGACAAGGGTGGTAAGAGAAAGCAAATTATAAGTCAATCTCATTCATGGACACCGGTTTAAAGATTGTAGACAAAATATAGACAAACAGGATCTAGTTATCTAGAGGGAAGATAATCTATGGTAGCTGAGTGTTATAAATCTCCAGTAGTTAAGATGCAGTATGGTGTCGGTGCTGGGATAGACAAGTAGGCCATGGACCAATGGAGCAAGAATCTTGTCCCACCACGAAGTGGCATTGACGTCATCAAGCAAATGAGATACTGGGCGAGGGGGCACTTGATTATTCATGTGAAGAAAAATGAAACGAGGTTCCTAACCTATACCAGAGCCAAAAATAAATGACAAATGAATGGATAGACAAGATGTGGTACACACATACAATGGGATTCAGCCTGAAAAAGGAAGGAAATTCTGTCACATACTACCACATGGGTGAACCTTGAAGTCCTTATTCTCTTAAATAAACCAGACACAAAAAGATACATACTGTACTATATGATTCCACTTATATAAGGTTCAAAGAGTGGTGAGATTCCTGGAAACAGAAAGTAGAATGGTGGTTGCCAGAGGTTAGGGGCAGGAGAGAACTGAGAATGAACATTTAGAGGCTTTTACCATAATTGAGCATTGCCATAAGCCCTGGGCACATGGCCACAGACCCAGCTCCTGGTGAACTCTGGGGGTTTGGGTGTGTGCTGTGTATTCTGGTGTGTGCAGGAGGACCAAGCGTCAGTCCAGGAGACTGGGCATATTTTAAAAATGGTCCTTTATAGGTAGTTTGAGGGGTACCACCCTTGGAAAGTGGCTCCACAGTAAGAAATGTGTTTAATATCATGCCAATACATAAAACTAAAGGAAGGTGTCACAGGAATGCTTACCTTATGACATGCAGTGTGTTCTGGCATTTCTATCTTACTGTCTTCCAGTTCTGCTCCCAACCCTGTTGGTTGTGGCATGCCATCTGAAGACACGACTGTAGAGACATCACGTGCCCCAGGATACATAGATGGATGTTCATGGCAGTGTTGTTGGCAATAGCAAAATGACTGGAAACAGCCCAGACACTGAGTAGATAAAGTGTGGTACATCCACACAAGGACGTATATATTCTTTTCTATTCCTTATCTGTTAAATATTAATAACCAAGATGCTTTTTAAAATAGACTGGGTCCTGTTTAGGTTTTTGTTAATTAGTGGGACTATCCAGAATGTTTAGTATGATTACAGAAGCAAGACCTACTCTAGGTAAAAAGAAAGAACCTGAGCTGATACAGGAAAGGGTAGATACAGCCACTTTTAATTTCTGTTTCTTGACTTTCTAATGTACTTTTTTACATACACGAGGTCATCTTAGACACACATTAGCAAAACTGGTTTTTAAATTCTTTTCTTGTTGGCTGCATAGTATTTCGTTTGATCAATCTATTGATAGGCATTTTGGGTGTACAGATGGCCCCCAACTTAACCATGGTTCTGCTTTGGGTTGGATGATTTTGTCCAACTGTAGGCTGATGCAACTGTCCTGAGCACATTTAAGGTAGGCTAGGCTAAGCTATGATGTTGGGTAGGTTAGGTGTAATAAATGCATTTTCAACTTAAAATATTTTCAACTTAACGATGCATTTGTTGGGACATGCGTATGTTGGGAGCATACAGATGCTCCCATCATAAGTCGTGGAGCATCTGTACACTGTTATTAGCAATACTGAAATGAGCATTCCTAGAATTTTCTCCTTGGATATGTAGCTAATTGTTTACTTAGAATAAATTCCCAGAAGTGAGCTTTCTGGGTTAAAGGTCCCTAGTGTCTTTCGCAATTTGATGTATAACCACCTAATCTAACCACCTAGGGAGCAACGTCTGTTGAGCAGTGGCACAAGGGCAGCCCGTCCCCCATAGCCCAGTTCTCGCAGCATGAGGTGCAGCTCAGGGTGTGTCAGGGGCATGAGCAATGTGTCCACAGGAGCTGATGCCACAGTAACCTGGGGGCAACTGCCCCTGGTGCTGCCAAGAACTGTCAACTGATGTCTGCGTCTTCCCACAGATCTATGAACTGCGGGTGATGGAAACCAAACCCGATAAGGCTGTGTCCATCATTGAGTGTGACATGAACGTGAGTGGTATTGTCCTGTCACGGTGAGCTCCGGCTCCAGGAGGATGGGCATTTGGTGGCTGCTGCAGGCCAGGGCCTCAGGGGACTGTTTGGGTGACGAGGAAGGGGATGGCAGTCAGAATGTCACAAGGAGGTCCCAGACCTGGTGATCTGTCTCAGGTCAGTTTGCTGCCGGTGCTGAGAGGGCTAAATACACAGTCACCTCTGACCTGCCGAGGAGTGAACGGTGTCATGAGCTGAGGAAGCCTACTTGGCCTCCTAAATAGGAACGAACTATTAATACATTCCTGGTTGGATTGCAAGAGAATGGTGCTGAACAAAAAGGACCAGTCCCCAAAACTTATATCGTTATATATTAATAACATCCTTAAAGTGACAAAACTTTAGAGATGGGAGGCAGATTAGTGGTTGCCAGGGCTTAGGGCTGGTTGACAGGGCTGGGAGATGCTGGGTGTGATTACGAAAGGACAACATGGGACCCCTGTGGTGCTGGAACTGCTCAGCGTCTCAGCTGTGGTGGGTACACAGTCCTACATGGTGAAAGTTGTGTAGAACCAAACAAACAAGTACGTGTGAAACCAGGGAACTCCAAGTAAGAGCAGTGGGCTGTGGCAATGTTGACAATCCTGGCCGCGATGCTCGACTGCAGTTTTGTAAGATGTGACCATTGCGTAACACTGGGCAAGGTGCACAAGGCATCATCTGGTCTTGTTTCTACTACACGTGGATCTGCAGTTGTCTTGCTTAAAAACATAAGAAAGCCAAGTGTGGCCATGTCTGAAAAGTGTACTTTTCATCTTGGAAACACAGGTGGACTTTGATGCTCCCTTGGGCTACAAAGAACCCGAAAGACAAGTCCAGCATGAGGAGTCGACAGTAAGTGGTGCCTCCAGCATCCTTGGCCACATTTGCCTGTTTTTGTAACAGTGCTGCCCTGTGAGTTCCCGGCAGCAGCTTATGTGTGGCGTTTGCTGGTGCCGGCATGGTCACGTCCTCTGCTTCCCTTCTAGCCCCATTCCAGGGGGACGTCCTAGCTGTGGGGAGTGGGGACAGCAACGGAGCAAAGGAAATAAGAGGCTCGAGGGGGAAGCTGGGTGCCCCACTGAAAAGCTCACCTCTTGTCTTCCTGTCTCCCTGTCAGGAAGGCGAAGCTGACCACAGCAGCTACGCTGGAGAGCTGGGCTTCCGCGTGAGTACTGGGCTGCTTGGCTAACTTTCTGTGCTCTGGCCGTACCCTCTGCTCCTTGGATCCAGGGCTTTCACTTCAAGCTGTTATCGGTGATGTTCTGTGGGCAGCAGCAGGGAGCCTCTGGGCACCTGTGTACAGGCAAATCTGGCATCCACTTTTTCCTGGAGTCTTCCCAGCAGCCCCAACTTTTTTTTTTTTTTTTTTTAATTTCTAACCTACCAAGGAGTTTAAATAGTACAACAGACTACATATACTCTTCCCTTGGGTTCACCAAATATTACTGCATTTGCTTTGTCTTTCTTAAAACATGTTCCCTTTTTTCTATGCCTGTACCATTTGTAAGTTGTGAACATGACCCTTAGCACAGCTGCTGGCCAGGGCCCCTGGGCAACTGGTGGGAGTGGCTCATGTGCGGGCACTGGGGTGCCAGGAGGCAGCAGAGAGAGTGGGACTGAGCATACGGGAAGCTGCGCTGTCACCAGGGGCCTTAGCCCCCCACCAACAGGGGCTCTAGCTGGGCAGCCTTGGGCCAGGTGGCTCTCTTCAGCTCATGGCAGTCCCCTGAGGGGCTGAGAGGGGAACTCTCAGCTGTCAGCACTCCAGCATCAGGGGAGGGAGGGCGTCAGTCCTAAGGAGTCTGGGCAGCACCCCTGGTGATCCCTGAGCAAAGGGCTGAGGTGCTTGCTCTTGGGGCTCATGTGCGACTCTCCTGTTTGCCTCTCTAGGCCTTCTCAGGCTCCGGAAATAGACTGGATGGAAAGAAGAAAGGGGTCGAGCCCAGCCCCTCCCCAATCAAGCCTGGAGATATTAAAAGGTGAGTCTGTCCTGGCCCTGCTCCTGCTGGATATGTTGTCATCCAGGGAGCGTCTCTATCAGCCCCGTGGAGCAGGGCAGCCTCATTCCAACTCTGGAGACAAAGCCTGGCTCTGTGGGTTATGAGGGGACTGAAACCCCCACCTCCACCATCCCTGCCCAGGGCCAGCAAGGCCTAGCCTCCTCCTGCCCCAAGTGGCTTTCCTAAGATGTACACCCAATTCGATCTCTCTGGCTCAAAATCTCTCTAGTTCCTATTTGGTAATCTGCCTACTTCATATTTTGTGACTTTGCATAATTAATCAGGTCACATTATCTCAACTTTTCTAAAATGAGGAGGCAGGAGCCTCCTCAGATGTGCTTCTGTCGCTGGGGACTCAGAGCAGATCCCTCTGGTGGCCATCACAGCGGGGGCAAGGATAGGGTATGAGAGCAGGAGGGGATGCTGGAGATGAGGTTTTACCCAGTCTCTTATGTGTAGAGTGTAGCCTTTTCAGGAGGGCCTGTGGGGCTCAGGACAGAGACAGTGAGGGCCTCCCAAGCCTTCAGATGGCCCCTCACCACAGGCAGGTCCAGAATCTGCAGCCCTTTGTCCCACACGGGGTTTATGCTGAACTAGGAACCAGCTACCTCTGCCTCCCTCCTGGGAGGGTGCTGGCAGCACCGGGGGCTGGCCAAAGGCCATGAGTACAGCGGCATTTTTTCTGCTTACCTTCCTGTTGATTGTCAAAAATGAATTTTAGTCCTTTTTTATTTCCTGGAACCAACACTTCTCCTTGTCTTCTTTACAGAGGAATTCCCAATTATGAATTTAAACTTGGTAAGATCACTTTCATCAGAAATTCACGTCCACTGGTCAAAAAGGTTGAAGAGGTGAGTGTGTTTCATTAGTAATGAGAAGTTTTATTTGCTGGTGATGACTGGGGTTCTTACCATTCTGAGTAGGGGTGTTCCTGTCATGTTGTCCTCTTTCCTGGGGTGGGGTGCCTCTGTTCTCTGCTCACCTGTTTTTTCTGCAGAGCTGGTGTGGGGTGTGTGTAGGCTGAGGTCTTGTAACATGGGGGGCAGGAGCCCTGTCCTGCTCGGAGGCCAACTCCAGTCTCACTTCAGAGAACGACATGCCCTGAGTGGGCCTCATCTTCTAAAGAGAACTTGAGCTTCCCGTCTCTGGATGCTGAGTGGGATGGTTATAGGATAGGGGATGGCAGGAACTGAATATCCTGTAGCCATGGGCACTGTGGCCCTGTGGCCAGGCCCAGCGGTGACTGGAACACAGTCGCCTGTGTGTGATGTGGATTTCTAGAACACCAGCACTTCATACCCATTGCTTTCCTGCCTGGCTCCTTTTCTCAAAGGATTGGACCCTTGGGGATTCAGGAGTAGGGTAGAGGGCAGATGTGCCCTGAGCCTGTTCAAGATGGGCTGCAGGACCTGTCACCAGCCCCTACTGACTACTGAACTCTTCCCCTCTAGCCCTTGGGGTGATTGGGGACAGAGGCCGCTGTGCTTTCTATATACTCCAGCCCAAGGCACAGCCACTTCTGGCCTCAGTGTTCCTCAAGTTGACATGGTGTTGGGGACCTTCCTGGCTCAAGAGCAAACATGGTCCCCAGTCAGACCTCCCCCTCCAGCTCCTTCAGGCCCCATCCAGGCTGCACCAGCCACAGGCTGGCTTTCTCTCTAAAAGCCAGCCCTTGACATGAATCCACAGAATAAGGCATTCATTTTAACCTCTAGGGAATTTCTGAAAATAGTATTTTCTCCTCACACCTAGGATGAAGCTGGAGGCAGATTCGTGGCTTTCTCTGGAGAAGGACAGTCGTTGCGTAAAAAGGGAAGAAAACCCTAAGTCGGGACTGTTGGCTGATTGGCAAATAAAAGAATCGATTGCAGCATACTGACTTCTAGTTACTGGCTCTGAAGGGGTGAGGCTCCTGTCAGAGAATGCCTGTTACTTTGGGTCAATTTAGATTACCTAAGAATTACCAAGTTTGACTTGGAAGTGGAACAGCAGGACTTTGTAGTTATGTGCTTGGTTTTAGGAAAGAGAAAGAGCTGCCTCTGAGGGCCTGTGGGCGGCCACCTTCTTGCCACTTCATGCTTTCAGCTCGAGGGGGGCTCCCATAGCCTCAGAGGGAGCAGAGTCCCCTAACTCCTAACAAAACCAGTGGAGGGCATTGAATTGTCTAACTTGAGCCATTCTTTCTCTTTCTTCATTTATCCTTTCTTTTCCCAGGTCAATTGTGTAGGCGTTGTCTTTGGCCTAGAAAAAAGTGGTTTAAATAGATATGTGCTCTATAAATAGCAGCTGTCCCACTACTCTGGCTGCAATTTAAGTATTTGAGGGCGTTTCCATTTTTATTTTACGTATTTTTTCCAACAGCACCACTCCTCAGAAGAACCTGATCCAAATAGGTTTGCACTTTTATTTTGATTTCATATGGAAATAGCTGACTCCTTAGTGAACCTGTTCTGTAGTAAAACAACTCCATGGAGAAACATAAACGTGAAAGCTAGAATGAGTAAGTGCTAAAGATATATTCCTCTTTCAACTTCTTTTGTACCCCCCTCAATTTTAATTTACTGAATCATCCAAGGTTCTGCTGGCCTGTCTTTATTTTTGAGTAAAAATAATTTGGTCTCAGATCTTCACTTTCTATAATGTGAGATCTTTTGACATGCTATGCCAATTATTTTAAATTTGTTCCTCGAGAATAATTCTAAGTCAAGAATTTCAAATAAAAACAGGCAATGACTAAAACCTGGATTGCCTCTAAATGTCTGATTAGGTGCTAACATGGACTGGTGGTTCGGCCACTGACTAGGAATTGGAAGAAGACCTGCTTGCAGGTGTCCCACATTCCATCTTGCCATTAGAAAAGTGCTCCTCTCTGGCATCTCTTGGAGAATGTAGGGAGAAACAAGGCCCTGCAGGGTCCCCCGTGTACCAAGCTCATCCAGCTTGTAGGCAGAGGGGTCCTGCTCTGGTCAGGCCTCCTCCCAATAGTCAGGAGAGGAGAGGATGCCTTCTGCAGGTTGGTGGCCTCAGGGTATCCCCACCTCAGTGAGGAGCACTGATGAGCGTCATGATGTTCAGGGCTGGGCCTCTGGCACAAAGCATCGCTGGCAATGGACGTGGTTTTGGAAGGTGTGAGCACTGTGGTGACCTACCCGACCCTGCACATGAGAGGCTTCAGTCTCACCAGCAAAGGTACAAGCCTCCTTGGATTGCAGGATCATGTTGGCTATCACACTGCCATTGAAGGCATAATGAAGTAGGTGTTACAGTAAGTGTTGGCCCTGGGGTTTTGTCTTCCCTAAGGAGCACCTGCTGTGTGCACAGCGAAACTCCTCATGGTCCTTTGCTGGAGGCACACTCCTCTGTTTGGGCCAGGATTGAGTCCACTGTTCAGCCTTCTGGTGGCAGTTGGGGCCTTCTTATGACACAGTGGGGTCAGCTGGAGCAATGATCCTGGTCATTCCTGCTGCACCCAGGCCTGCAGCTTTCCTCAGTGTCTTCTCCTAGCTCGGTCTTTGAGCCCGCCACGACAGCAGGACCCCTGGTACAACTGCAGCTTTCTGACCCAGTGTCATTCCTGGCAGCAGCTGCCTTGTCATCGGCTCCCCAGCAAATGATGGCATTCAGAGGAGTTGGCAATCCACCACGTGGGTACTGCTGGGCATTTCCGCAGGCCCAGCAGCCTCCTCTGCGCCACCTCCATTGTCTGTGGTGCATCTCTCCTGTTGATAAGTGTTGTGTGCGTCCCATGCTCTCGGGATACTCGGTGGCTGTGCTAGCACTGACTGCTCCGTGTGTCCCACATCCTCGGGATAGAGCCTACGCTCCCCCAGTCAGACACTCTCACACTCTGTGACTCGGCCTCTGGCTGTGCTGGGACTGCCCTCTCAGCTCCATGCAAGCCTGGGCTCCGGGGAGGTCATCCTGCGCCCTGGGCCGCCCCGCCCGCACCAGCCCCGGTTCCTCTGAGTTCGCCTCCGCCCTGAGCGGACACTCGGACGAGGCCTGGCAGGTTCCGAAAGCGAACCATATCGTTGAGACTTGAGAAAATAACAGAGCTGCTGAAAAGAACTGGCGAGCCAGGCGGTTCGGGCGCAGCTCACTCAAGTGGCAGCTGCCGCGCCGCCGGCACTTCCTAGCCTGGCCCCGCCCCGCCCTGCTGCGCCCCGCGTCCTCATTGGCGCTTCTCAAAGGGGCGGTGAGGGTCAAGTGCCTATCTCAGAGTTCATTAGTTCTCCTTCTCGTCAGTCACGCCGCGCCTCCGTCTTCGGCCCTCATTGGCTGGAGACCGAGGAGATGGGTTTGGCATCGAGTGGCCCAGACATGGCGGGCGGCGGCGGTTGGCTGGTGAGTGCGATCGGCGCAGGGACCCGGGGACCCGGGGGTCTTGTCGGGCCAGGCGACCGCATTAACCGGGCCCTCCCGGGGGAGGGGGCGGGGCGGGGGGCGCAGCCGCCGGGCCCGCTCAGGTGCCGCCTGTCGCCGCAGCCGCCGCGCCCCTGCGAGGCCTACCGCGCCGAGTGGGAGCTGTGCCGCAGCGCCCGGCACCTCCTGCACCACTACTACGTCCACGGCGAGCGGCCGGCCTGCGAGCAGTGGCGGCGCGACCTGGCTAGCTGCCGCGCCTGGGAGCAGCGCCGGAGCAACGAAGCCCAGGTGCGCCGGGCGGGCGGAGGGGCGGCGCACGTGCACCGCGTGCGCGGTCTGCGCTGGGCCGGGGTCCTTCCCCGCCTTGCGCTTCCCTTCTTTTGAGAAATAACACAAATTAGCATATCTACAGGATTTTCAGACGGTGTTAAGGACAACGAAGGCGACAAGCGAAGAAGCGGGTGTAGAGTGGTTTAGAGAGGGAGGAGGGCCGACCTTTCAGCATTGGGGTCGTCAGCTAGCCTGTGGAGGACGTGCTGTTGCTGAGTCCTGGACGCCCAGGACCCAGCCTTCGCAGCCTTCACCCAGCCCCAGGGGACACGACTGAGAAAAAGAAAATGTCCAAGTGCCTGGAGCCCAGGGAAGCTGCGCTGTAGAGGGGTAGGGCATAAGATTGGGAAGGCACCAGGGGCCTGGTGGGCCAGATAAAGAGCTTAGAGTCTAGTCTGAAAGTGTGCTGGGAAGCAAATTTTATTTGTATCTTTAGAAGAGGAGTCTGTTGAGGGTGTGGAGAGTGTAGTTACAGGAGGGCAAAGAGACCAGTAAGGAGGTGGTTCTACTTGTCCATTTATTCCGCAGATATTCATCCTGTTGGGTGCTTTGGGGGACACACAAGCAATGAGAACAGAGCCCCTGCCTCTGGGCACCCACACTGTAGTCTAGAATGCAGTGCTTACCGTGGAGCCACTTGTAGGATGGGAGGTGGGGAGAAGCCAGCCTGAAGGTGCAGTACTCACGGGGAAGGCTGGGGAAGGGCAACCAGCAGGACTGGCCAACACTTCATTGTTAAATGAATACAATGATTGTGAAACAGACAAACTGATGTGGAAACCAAACTGCTGTATAAAAGAAAATGATGACAAATCCAGAATAAATGAAATTCAAAAAAAATGAGAGAAAGCTTATGGCCTCTATGGCAAGAGGTTGATCACCTTTATAGATATATGTACACACACACACACATACACACGTACTAAAAGAGCTTTCATCTATCAATAAGAAAAATGGGAATGATTTCAAAATAGAAAAATAGGCAAAGGGCACAAAGAAGCAATAAATTAAAAAGGAAAACCAAACGCCCAGGTATGTGAGTTAAAATGACAGTAAGAGTGGTTTTTGCCCAGCAGAAAGAAGTGTTGATAGGGGTTTGGAGAATCCAGGGTACCTCTGTAGTGTTAGTGGGAGTGTCAGGTGTTCTGATTATCTGAATGTCAAATGCATACCTTTTAACCCCAAAGTTATACTTCTGGAAGTTTATCCTAAGGAAGTAACTGGATAACAGTGCACAGTTATGAGTTCAAGATGTTCGTTGTGTTTATGATAGTGCAAAAATTGAAAGCAACCTAAATTTCACTAATAGACATTTGACCAAATAGCTTTTTTACACAGTGGAGTTCTACATAGCCATTAAAAAGAATAGACAGTAATCTACCTGGGAATGGAAAGGTGCCTACAGCATATTATTTAGTAAAAAAAAGCAGAAGGAAGACTAGCAAGCAGAAAATTATTCCATCCTTAGGGAAATGTGATGGCTCTAAAATTTGGGCCTAAAAAGTTGTCGGGGAAGCTGTTAAACTGCCACATCGGGGATGGAGGTTTGGGAGTCTTTCATATTCTACTTTGAATTTCTGATAACTTCTTAAACAAGACCAAAACATTTCGAGACAATAGAGCTTGAACAAGGATAGACAAGTAGGCAGAATAAATTATATGTGTAAGGAGGCCTGCATAGCACCTGACACCTACCAAGGGCCCACAGCGAAAGTCACCCTGTCCTGATAACTCTGTTCTTTGTTTTGGTGGACAGTGACCAAGAGAAGCTGGTGGGTTGAGGGGAACTTGTGCACAGCCCTGTGTTGGTGGCCTGTCTTCTGGACTCCTCCCACCCTTGCATGGCACCTGGGCATGTGTCTCTTACCTTGTCTTACTCCCTTCCAACCGCGTTCCTTCCTGCAGCTCCCCAGCTGCTGTTTCAGACTCCTGTCTCTCCTCTCCACTCAGAGCTCCCAGCCTGAGTCTCAGCAGGTGAACCTGCCCCACACTCACTAGGTCAACCAATGCCATCAAGCCCTGAGGCCCAGGAGATGTTTTAAAATCCCTCAGATTATGATGATCTAAACAGTAGTTTTTCACAGTAGCTTGTGAGAAAGAGTGATGTAGATCTCTGTGTGCTAATGTGGAACAATTGCCAAGGTATATTAGTTGGAAGCAACTGAGCTGCAGAGTGGTGCGTGCCGTACGCACCTGTTGGCCATCGTGTTCAGGAGGGTGATGAGGAGTTGGGGGGTACAGGGACTGTGCAAGGATGCTTGGAGCCCTGGGGCCCAGCCAGGAGGTGGAAAGTGACCAGAATCTCATTTGCACAGCAATCCCTCTGTGAGAGCGAGCGGGCACGAGTCCAGGCTGCACAGAAGTACCCCCTGGTATGGGCCCTCCGGCAGAGCCCCCCTGCAGACTGGCATCTCCCTCTGCCTCAGGAGAAGGATGAATGAAAAACACTCCTGTCCTCGGCCTATGCGGTTTCCTCAGGTCTATTTCAAGAGGGGCTGTCACACAGCCCGAAGGACTGTAACTGGCCCAGTCTAGTGGGTCTCTATGAGCTCTCTCGCCTGGCTTGGAACATGGAGCAAGACATCGCCAACCCTATTTGGCCCACCCCTCACCTGCATGCAGGGCCCCCCGACACTGCGATGCTCTGAAAAACAATTCTAGCTACTCCAGAGCTTCTGGGAAGCCAAGCATTGTGGCAGGTACCTATGAGCAGCCAGGTAGGGCTAGGCACAACAGCATTGGAAGTGGCAGTCCTGAGGTCTGGGATTCTCAGGTAGACTCTTGAGGGCTAGCCCTGACCTGTGTAGTCACCTGGGTGGGTCAGAATGAGATAGCTAAACAGTTGTGCTGCTGTGGATGCCTTTCCACATCCTGGGCTTGGTGACCACCGTGTACTGCCGGCCCCTGGCATGCAAAACATGGAACTCACACTGCTCCAGCCCACTGGCTCCGTCTCACTGCAGATGCAGGCCGGCATGCCAGCAAGCAGGGCTCCCTCGCCTCCTCCACCAGCACCCTTCACCTCTTAGGCTCTCAGGTAGACCCTGGAGACTCTGGCTTTCAAGAAATGCACACAGCTGCAGAACACAAAACCTCTCACAAAAAGGGTTCGTGGAGTTTCTGCTTAAGAAATCCAAGCCCAAGACATGGAATTTAGGACTCCTTCCCTCAGAATTTCCCGATTGTTAATGTGTCAAAGCCATTTCACGTTTGATTCCAAATAGAAGCTTGGTAGATTTCACACCTAACAGTGTTGTGCTTGGACAGTATTAGAATTTTGTATGCTTATTCTCTTGTAGATGTTTTTAAAATATATGCATATGAACTACCAAGAAGACTAGTTCTTGAAAAGGTCTCTTTATTACTAATAAAATGCTTTCGTATCCTGTGGCTGCATGGCAGGTCCTATTTGTGATGCTGAGGGCTAGGCCAGCTGAGGCCAGCACCCTCCCTACTCAGGCAGCAGGTCGAACATCTTTTAATTCATTCTTTGTGGCAAAATAATTGATCACTTCAGATGGGTATACATTAAAGAATATCTTCTTCTGTGTTCCCCAAGAGCCCCTGTGTGTGTGTGTGTGTGTACCTTGTGAATGGTGGGCGGTATGTGCTCACAGGATCCAGGAGCAAAAGGGAGTCTAAAAAGGAGCCAGGTTCCCCCATCCCCATGGGGAGCTTTGGTATAGCTAAAGCACCACTATGAAGCACCTGTGCCAGCACTTGCCTTTGGCGGGGAAGTGGGAAAGGCCTCAACACCTGAGCCCAGACCTGGATGAGAAGGCTCGAATCCTGCCAGGCAGAGAAAGGGGCCCACAAAGGCTGAGAGAATCAGCCCTACGTGTTGACAGGACAGGGGGTGCTGGAAGCTGTGATCAGAGGTCTAGGTATAATTCTCGGGGTGATTACTTGCGTTCTGCAGAGACAGGGCTGGAGTGGGCATGCCCAGTGTGGACAGATCAGTTGGCCACCGAAGTAGAACAGGCAAAATGTGACAGTGGCTCAGACCTTAGAGGTAGCCATGGAGGTTGTGAAAAGTATTTGCATTCACCATTTATCTTTGGTAGAGCCAAATGACTTAGAATCTTTAGGCAACAGTTTTATCATGGACTGGTAAGAGTTTTTAAAACAAAAGAAAAAAACTTTAAGTGAGCTGGATGTGGTGGCTCACACCTGAAATCAATCCCAGCACCTGGGGAGGCTGAGGCAGCAGAATCCCTTGAGCCCAGGAGTTTGAGGCTGCAGTGAGCTGCAATCATGCCACTGCACTCAGCCTGGGTGACACAGCAAGACCCTGTCACTAAAAACAAAGTGAATCCCAGAGAATAGTAGAATAGAGAGCCCAGAAATAAACCCCTGTATATATGGTCACTTTTTGACAAGGATGCCAAAACCATTTAATGAGGAAAGGACAATCTTTTCAATAAATGGTTGATGCTCAGAAAACTGAATATCCACATGCAAAACAATGAAGTTGGACCCTTGTCAAACATCAAACACAAAAATTAACTCAAAATGGATCAAAGATCTAAATATAAGACCTAAAACTATAAAACTCTCAGAATAAAACAGGGGAAAAGCTTTACAACATTGGATTTGGCAGTGATTTCTTGAGTACAGCACGAAAGTCACTGACATTAAAAGAAAAAAATAGACAATGAGACTTCACGAAAACTTTAGACACTAAATTTCACGTCAAAAGATACTATCAACAATTAAAAAGCAAGCCATGGAATAGGAGAAAATATTTGCAAATTGTATATATCTGATAAGGGATTATTAGGATATAAAGTGAACTCCTAAGACTCAGGTGAAAAAAATGGGGCAATGGACTTGAAAAACCCTTCTCCAAAAAAGATATACAAATGGCCAATAAGCACATGAAAAGATGCTCAATGTCACCGATAATCAGTGAAATGAAACTCAAAACTACAAGATACCACCTTATATCTGTTAGGATGGCTACTATCAAGAATAAAACCCAGAAAATAACAAGTGTTGGTGAGGATACAGAGAAATTGGAACTTTCGTGCACTGTTGATGGGAACATACAACACTATAGCCACTGTGGAAGGTAGTATGGCAGTTCTTCAAAAAATTAAAAATAGAATTATTGCATGATCAGCAATTCCACTTCCAGGTGTATATCCCAAAGAAAGCAGGATCTCAGAAAGATACATGTGCGCTTGAGCTCACAGCAGCACTGTCCACAATAGCCACAACGGGGAAGCAACCCAAGTGTCCGCTGATGGATGAACAGACAAGCAAAATATGGTTTACCCATACAATGGACTGTTACTCCTGTCTTAAAACAGAAAAAATTCTGACACATGCTACAACATTTATGAGCCTTGAGGATATTATGCTCAGTGGAATAAACCAGTCACTAAAAGACAAACACTGTATGACTCCACTTATATGAGGTGCTTAAGAGTAGCCAAAATCAGAGACAATAAGTAGAATGGTGGTTGCCAGCAACTGGGGGAGAGGGAAATAGTTATTTAATGGGTACAGAGTTTCAGTTTTGCAGTGAAAAGGGTTTTGGAGATACAGGATGATGGAGATGTTATACAACAATATGTATATATTTAACAATACCACTGAACTGTACAGTTAGAAATGATTAAGATGTTAATTTTTATGCATATTTTGCTACAATTTTTAAAATGGGGAAAAAACAAACCACACACTAGGAAAACTTTTTTATTCAAGTGAATTGTTTCCTTGGTTTATCTGCACTAAGGTATTTAAAAAACCAAAGTCTTTCTGAGGTTATGATACAAATCACTAGGAAAAATGGCACTATTTATACACTTAACTGTTAAGTGCTGAATTGTGTCCCCTCAAAATTTCTATGTTGAAGTCCTGGTCCCCAGTACCTCAGAATGTGTATTTGGAGACAGGGTCCTCTGAGATAACTAAGTTAGAATGAAGTCTTTAGGTGAGCCCTATTCCAATATGCCTGGTGCCCTAGTAAGTCAGGATGCAGACTGATGGATGACCCTGTGAGGAGGACACAGGGAAAAGGGGCCATCTGCAAGCCAGGGAGAGAGGCCTTAGAAGAAACCAAACCTGCCAACACCTCAATCTTGGGAGTTCTAGCCCCCAGAATCATGAGGAAATAAATTTCAGTTTTTTAATTCTGTGGTATTTTGTTTTGGCAGCCCGAGCTAATACCTTCACCATTCCAGACGAAGCACCTGAATAAAACGAGTTCCCAGCTAGGTGTCACACCTGCTGCAGGGGCACGGCAGCTCTGTTAACTAGTGTGTCTCTGGCTTGCTCCACTCTCTTCAGCCTCCTCTTGCTTAAAACCCAGAGGTGGCTCCTGTGTCCCATCAGGAAGGCCTGCTTCTCTGCACACCTTTCCAGCTCAAAGAATCCTGCACGTCCCTCACGTCTCCTCCTCTGGGTTACTTTGTTTCTCCTGCTGGTGGTATTTTCACCACACACTTGGAATCTTCCCTTTTACTCATATTTTTCCCACCTGAGGGCAGTGGTTGATGTCTTTGTCATTCTCTTCCCTGCACCTGGCAAAGGGGCAGCCTCTCTCACCCCATCCATCTCAGGTGAATTAATTTTGATTCCAACACAAGACAAAGAGACACTTGATTAAACTTATATTTATTAACAGCATGCCTGACTCTCTGGAAAGCAGACTTGAACCTTGGTCATTCTGATTCTCAGAAGCAGTGTGTTCTGAGGACAGCTGCCTGCAATTCTATTTCTTGAATTCCATTTGTGTGTACACCTTGGTGATATCATTGTACCTGCCTTCAGGGGGATGGTAGTTAGAGACTGGTGGTGTGTAATCTGGCCCTTTTTTCTCAAAGGGGAACAGGCCAGGGTCCCGCTTGATGGCCTCGGTGTGCAGCTCTGGCGACTCAAGTTGCAGCTCCTGCAGAGCTTCCTGCTGGGCCTTCAGCATGGCCCTGATGGCATCCCTTTCCGTCTCATGTTCCCGCTGCTTGTACAGGGACCACCGCTTCAGAAGCAGAGCTCTCCGCTCACTTTCCTCAAAGGAGAGCTCCACCTCAGGCCGCTGTCTGCAAACACACAGTCCCAAGGTGTGAAGCTGGGGGTTACTGACCTCGCTGGCATGGCTGGCTGTGATTGCATATGACCCAAGCATTCCCCCCGCCAAGCACAGACAGGAGAGAAAAGTACAAGTTTGGGACAAATTAAGGAATGGAATGTTGAATGTGGCAGCAGCTGCAACTGATGCTGGGAACCAAGGTCATTTGCTTTCTATCAGGAGAAGGAACAGATGGTCTGAGGAGACTATGGTAGCCCTTCCTACGCCCCAGGCAAAGAGTACCTTCGGTGAGAAGTGACTTTGGAGGAGGGAAGTGAAATGGTCTTATGAAAATGATCACCAATATCCAGGAAGCCAAGAACCTGTATCAGCCCTGGAGTACCAAAATGCCTGCCATTTCCCAGGTGCATAGCAAGGTGCTGCATTATAAATGGTGCACACTTTTTACAAGGCAACAGGAGCTGCTAACCCTGCACACAGCACAATCCCAACACATACCAACTATAATGCATCTGCATAATAAAGCAAGAGGTTAGGATAGACCCAAAGCCCAAGTCATGAGAAACAGACAAGATTCCTCACGCAAAAGAGCAACAACATGAACTCCAGAGTAGTGCTAATCCAAACTCACTTAAGCACATGGCCTGGATTTATCGGTTGTCTAAGTTTCTTCCCCATCTTCAGCCACCCAAGAATGCTTTCTCCAACTCCAAGAGCACAATCAAGGAGAAAAGGACTCAGATGGGGGCCAAGTCAACCCACACCTACTGAACCCACGCCTACTGACCCGTTCCCACCACAGCTGTTAACTACAGACAGAAGTTGATAGAACTCCTTTGCCCTGAAGACTTCAATCCTAGAGGAGCACCCTTACCTTGCTTTATCCAAGAACCTCACAGGGGTAATAAAATCTTCAATGGGAATTAACTCTTGGCTAGCCTTTTCCAGTTTTCGGATCCTCTTTTTCAAGCGGTCCTTTGCTGCTTGGTCTTTTTTAGGATCTACCTTCTTCTTCTTTCGAAGAGGTTCTGATCTAACAAATAAAGCAAACATTTTTCCTCTTCAGTCTCATGAACATACTGAGAGACATAATAGGTGAAGTGCCTGGTACTTGTACTGAGCTCTTCCCTGGGGCAAGGAGCTGTGCATGGGCCTGACCCCATGAACTCAGTGTGGCAAGGAGGTGGCTTCTACCCCAGAGTACTTGTGAGACCTGTGTGGGCGCCATCAACTACAAGGAGGGGTGGAAAACCATTGTGGGGTATCAGGGTATAAATTAAGGGAAAGTGTTCATCTTTAGGGCTGGGCCTAGGGATTGCATTGAAAAGTGAAAATACCAAACTGATGGATTAGAAGCTCGCTACTCATATTTTAAATGGATTTGTGATTTATAAAAATGCTTGGAGTAAGACTAAAAGAGATAGTATGATAAAAATGATTGGCATGTCCCTGTTATCTTTTGGGAATTTCTTAACAAATTTCCTCATCCTAGAGCTTTGGCAAAAAATATGGTTTACTCTTAGGAACACATCGCCTACAGCAATAATTTAGTACTAAGAATAATCAAATCCTCTAGCATCAAGACAGACCGAATCAAGTCCCTAGAAAGCATCCGGGGTGCCAGGTGCAAATACCTTTAATCTTTGCACCTCCCCCACCTTCTCCAGGACATCAGAATGGGCAGGGAGGAGGAAGGCACAAGGAGAAACAGAAATTTAAGTTGTGCCCTTTAAAACATAAGAATCCCTTCAAACCTAGTATTTATTTAAACTACTTTTGTATTTAATGCTTTCATTACAAATATGACACAGCAATATATGATATAGAGAATGTTAAAAAGACAGAAAAGCATCTGCCTAAATTTTGAGAAACTTTGTAGGTCAGCTTTCCAACCCAAACGTCCAGCTTTGTTCTGGTCACATGCACGGGGGGTTGGGCGGATGTCTCTCGCTGACACCCAAAAAGAGGTCGGGCCCAAGGTTGAGTTTTACCTCATGGGAATGAGTTCCCAGAAGGATAACAATGAGGCTCGCTGGTGGGTGTCTCTAATCTGCGTCTGCCAAGTTCCCAGAAGCCTGAAAAATGCAAAAGTACACATAAATACCTGATTCTCTACAGTGCCCCCAAACTCAGGGCACTTGTAAGTACCGGATGCGACAGCAAGGTCAATTCTCCCGTTCACAACACAGAGCACCTGGGCGAGACCCCTGCTGGCCAGGGTCCTCGGATTTTCACCCATAAACGGAGTCACGATCAGCTGGTTGATCCCTGAGGTACCCGTCGAAGGGGAGGCAGGGAGGGAGCGCCAATGAGGCCCTGGCCGGCCGGCGCGGAGCCCTCGCACACGCCCCGCGACCCAGCCACCGCCCGCACTCACCCGCTTGCGGGGCGCAGAGCGCGCGCGACAGTTCGCAGAGCCGCAGCAGCCATGGCCCATCCGCCGCCAACCTGCGGCTTCCGGGCACGCGCCCCAAGGCGGTCCGGTCGGCGGTGCCGGAGCGGAGGTCCGGCCAAAGCACCGCCCCACGCTCCCGCGTTCCGACCGCGCTGGCCCCGCCCCTGACGCAGCCTCGCCCAGGCGTCTCGCGCCGCCCGTCCGGTGTGCCTCTTACCTCCCGGCGCTCCGGGCTCTTCAGGACCTCGCTTCAGCCTCCCTCCAGCGCCGCGGGCCCGCCTCTGCAGCGGGCACAGTCCTGCCAACCAGTCGCTAGCTGGTTGGTCGGCCCGCGCCCTCGTGAGGACTGGGGGCCCGCTGTGCAGCCAGAGTGGCGAGGGGCGTCCCTCTGCTACTCCGGATCCAAGTGTCCAAGTCTGTGAAAACGGCCCTGGTCTTCCAATACACTCGCCCGCCTCGCACCACCCCCAGGCCTCGCTCGTTCCCCGCATTCGCTTGCTCCCGGGGCCGAGGCCGCCCGCCGGTGGCTGCATCCTGGCGCCGGCGAGGGGCCTGGCGCTGAGGAGATGCCCAGTAGCGCGTGTATAGGTGAATGAAGCTAGTTAGTAAGTCGGACTCAAGCAGCGAGGGAGAGCTGGTGAACAGGCGGTCCATGGCACCCGGGCCCCACCTGGCACTGCGGACCGCCCCGCCGGCCCGGGCTGCAATCCGAAGCCCCGCTCGCCCGCCGCCGCCGCCCCGGCCTGCCCGCCCCTGGGCTGCCCGCCGAGGAGCGCAGGCGGCCCGGTCCGCGTGGGAAGCGGTTTCCCGCCGGGGCGATTTGGCAGGTGCGCGCCGTGACTTCCGGCGTTGCCCGGGAGCCGCCGGAGGAGGAGCGGCGCAGGGGATGCGGTTGTGGTGGCGGCGGCGGCGGCCGAGCGCGGGGGGCGGCTGTGGCGGCGGTGGGGGGCGCGGGCCAGCGATGGCGCGGCGGCGCTGAGGGCACGGGGCAGGCGGCGGCCGAAGGGCGGACGGCGCGAGTGGAAGCGGCGGCGGTGGCTCCATGGCCCGGGCGAGCTGAGGGACGCGGCTCTCGCCTCAGCCCGGCGGCAGCGGCGGCGGCCGAACAATGAAGCTCCTGAAGCCGACCTGGGTCAACCACAATGGTGAGTGCGCGCAGGGGTCGCGGGAGTCCGAGCCCAGAGTCGGGTCGGGGTCCAGATCGAGTCGGGGCTGCGCGCAGGCCCTGCTCGCCTCGCCCCCGACGCCCGGTGCTGGGTGCTGGGTGCCTGAGCCAAGGAGCGGACTTTGTCCTCGGCGTGGAGAGGCCGGCGAGCCCCGGCACGTGCTCCGGGCTGGCCGCAGCAAAGGCTGCCTTCGCCCTGGGCACTGGCGCTGAGCCCTCCGCCGCCCACCTGCGGTCCGTGGAGTGGCTGAGGCCTGGCTCCCAGGAGCGGGCCTTGGCGCCGGCCAGCTCCTGCCGCTCCTCTGCATTGGCTGAGATGTGCTCAGTTGGTTCCGAGTGTGAAACTGGGACGGAATCCCCCTTGTGGCCTTTGATTGACAGGGCGAAGATCTGAAATCTGCTGGAGAGACTGTTACTGTTCCTCTGGATCTGATGACAGTGCCCCTGGTCGGGGAACTGTGGTCCCCCAGCCGGAAGGAACCACGTTTAATGCAGAGCTGGGGCATCAGGGTGACTAAGGTTGGGGCAGATAGGGTGCAGGTGTGTTCTAGGAGAGTGGCTGCCTTAGCTCTGTGGCAGTGGCCCCAAAACACACCCTGGGGGAACAAACTCATCCATCTTGGTTGAGACTTGACTCTGGTACAGAGAAGCTAGTGGTAATCAGCAGTTTTGTCCTAGTTCTGCCTTGTCAGAACTGCTGCAGGAGTTGGTCTTTGCTCCCCAGGGAGATGGGGAGAGAGCCCACCCCAATCTCCCCACCCTCTGCTGACAGCACTGAAGCACAGGAATCATGCCAGGGAGGCTTCTCCGTCTAGCCCAGGACCCATGGCCCTCATTCTGGCCTATCTCTGACTACTGACAGGCAAAGGGTCACCCTGATACTGTCTTGTTCCTCATTTCTACTTTGCAGTGTGACTAGAGCGAGCTACCGTTTTCTTTTAGTACAAGAAGAATAGATGCTTTTACCTTTTTTATGCATGTAGCTTTTTAGACCCCAAGATGCTACTACTACAAACAAACTAAACTGAACATCTCTCTGTGTTCTCCTCCTTCCATCTCTCTCTCCTTCCATCTTGTTGTGTATGACATCTTCCCCATTTTTCAGGGCCCAGGTGAGGTCACCTTTTCCTTTTGAAACTGTTCATGCCGAGTTACCCCACTAGTGCTACATCACTGTCCCTCTGCTTTTGCTTGCATGGAAGTTGTGAGGGCACTTTCCATGTGCCCCAGGGCAGGCACCGCCTCGCTCCTCTCTGTGTCTTTGCTGCACTGAGCAACACCTTCCACATAATGGGTATGTGATAAATATTGGCTAAAACAGGTAAGAAAGCTGAGGTTTCAGCAATTTACAAAGATGAACCTAGATTTACTGTGCATGAAAGCAAAAGCCTTGAGTTTTAGTTTCATTTCTCCCGTTGATCTCCAAGAGCGTTTCCTGATGTATAGCATGCAGATCTTTCCCTAGAGAACAGGGCAGAAGTTGTAATTGTGAATTATTATGCCTGTGATCAGGGAAGGAAAAATTTTGTTATGAACTAGTTTGCTTTGTAAGTGAAGGTCTGAAGGAATTTTTATTTTAAGATGCTTTGCCTAAGTCAGTTTGTGTGTATAGCCTGTGCCTACCCATCTCTAGTCTGTCTTCTGCCTTTTGTCATGTAATTTCTTCTTTTTGATAAGTTCCTTTGTAGGACAAAAATTTTATGCTGTGTAAGCCTAAGTAAGTCAAGATGCTGAAGTGATTACTTAGGTACAAGTGAATGAGAGACTACAGCCAGGTCAGCAGCCAAATGTACCAGCCAGGCAGAGCAGTGGGCTCAGAGCCTCTTGTTGCTGAGGTCCTCTACACAGTGCTAGAATGGAGCATGATAATATCTGCTCTACCCACTTCACAGTGTGCTTGTGATGTTCAGTTAGGAATGTAGACACAAAAGTGCTTCCCAGACTATAGAAATCTCAGACATAATAATTAATAACAAAAGACACTGAGACTCTAGATAGATGGGTTTTAACTTCTTTTAAACTTGTTCGTTGTCAAATTTCCTTTCTTTTAAAATCTCCTAAAATCAACTTTGGTCTCATGGAATGTTCAGGAGGACTGTCAGGTAAATTACCACTATCCTGGAGGAAATGACGCTGGTCTGAATCACTGCTGAGCATGCCTTTACAGACTATATTGAATAGTGGGAGCTGGTAGGGTCAGAGGCTGCTCAGCCAGAAGCCTGAGTGGTAGGTAGTTGCCAGTAAAACCCGCTTGCTTTTGGTGAAAAAACAAAAGCCATGGTGCTTTAGTAAGCACATCATTGCATTTTCTGGCTTCCTCACTCTGTATTCTTGTCTCTTGTTTTGTTATGCAACATGAGCGTACTTTTTTTTTTTAAGAGATGAGGTCTTGCTATGTTGCCCAGGCTGGACTCCGAACTCCTAAGCTCAAGCGATACTTCAGCCTCCCAAGTAGCTGGGAATACAGGTATGAGCCACACATCCAGCAGAGCATACTTCTTCTGTTGTCTGAGAGCTCAAAGAGGGCAGAGCAGAGAGTTTAACATTTTTCCCTGGGGTGGCAGGGGGCCCATTGAGACAGGGTGGAGAGGGCAGCTAGAATAGGGAAGTTTAAGCAGAGGGAGATGAATTTGTTGAAGTGTAGGCATACTTTGGTCCTCAATTTCTTGGCTGATAGTAGAGAAACCTCTAAGGTAGAGTTTCTCAACCTCAGCACTATTGACATTTTGGGCCATATAATTATTGTGGGAACTGTCTTCTGTGTTGTACGATGTTTAGCAGCATCACCGGCCTCTACCCACTAGATGCCAGTAGGCCCCCACAATCACCACCAGGTTGTGACAACCAAAAATATCTCCAGACATTGCCAGTGCCCAGGTGGTGGCCAAAACCACCGCCAATTGATAAGTACCTGTCTGAGGTTATCAGTAAGTTAATAAATCTTGAAGTTGTAACATTGTAGTGGAATGAGCCTTGAATGTGGAATCAGGCTGAGTTCAAAACCCTGTTATTTACTAGTGACTTGTGGCTTGTTGACTCTGCTCTGGGTCTTGGTAAAACTATCTAAAGACGTATCTCTTCCATTTCATTCTGTGACCAAATATGAAAGAATATTTTTTTTTTTTTTTTTGTTTTGAGACAGAGTCTCACTCTGTTGCCCGGGCTAGAGTGCCATGGAGTCAGCCTAGCTCACAGCAACTTCAAACTCCTAGGCTCAAGTGATCCTTCTGCCTCAGCCTCCTGAGTAGCTGGGACTACAGACATGAGCCACCATGCCCGGCTAATTTTTTTTATATATTTTTAGCTGTCCAATTAATTTCTTTCTATTTTTGGTAGAGACGGGGTCTTGCTCTTACTCAGGCTGGTCTCGAACTCCTGAGCTCAAATGATCCACCCGCCTCGGCCTCCCAGAGTGCTAGGATTACAGGCATGAACCACCGCGCCCGACCAGAATATCTTAAGATATGTATAATAATTATAGTTCCTAATGACATCTGTCATTTAAAGTTATGTGCCAGGCACTGTACACACACGCACGCACTTTGTGTTTTTGGATATAGTATTCTGCTTTAGGCTTGTCCAAAATAAGCTTCATTTCTAAGTTAGATTAAGACCATATATTGGTCGGAAAATGAAAGTGACTAGGATTTTGCTTTTAAAGTTTGTAGAAAAATGTAGTTTGTATGTTTATAAAATTTCATTGAGATTTGTGGCTATTCCCATCCCTGGGCCTTTGCTCCTGAGAGTTTTTTCTGGAATTCTCACTTCTGGGCAGAAAGTGCTTGTGCTTGGCTCTTCAGTGCAGCCCATCCTAACCAAGAGGGCCAGTACAGAAAGAGCTCTCATCTTCCTTTGGTCTCTGGTTCACACTTTGATGGCAGTGCTGTAAAAAGGTACTTGGCAAATTTTCAATAATAGGATAATTTGCCCGTTAATCACATTGCTTTATGGTGTGTGTTTCCTTTTTCTTCTATCCTGTGATTGGGTTATTTTCCCCCTACCCTGTCTCATTCCAAAAGGAATTTTAGGACATCATACTGAGACATCAGCATGAAAATGGGTAAGCAAACTTGGAGAGGAGATGCAGGCTGGTGGCACTACAGGGGTGGGTGTGCTGAGGTCTGGCACACTGCCAACGACACTGCAGACCTGTGAGGATAGGCCGGGAGGGGTCCTAATGGTGAGATTATATGATTGCAATGGCTGTAAGATAAACTTGGTAGTTGCTGTAGATCACTGGTTCTCAAACAGGGCAATATCTGGAGACATTTTTGATTGTCACAACCTGGGGGAGAGTGCTACTGGCACGGAATGGGTGGAGGACAGGCCTGCTGCTAAACATCCTGCAAAGTACAGGGCGGCCCCCACGCAGAGAATTATCCAGCCCCAAGTGCCAGTAGAGCTAAGGGTGAGAAACCCTGCTCTGGATAAGAGTCTCTGTTGTTGTTTGCCTTTTTGTGTATTTGTCTCATCATTGCCACTAGACTGTAAGCTGCTTGAGGGTAAGAATGTTGCCTTTCATTTTGGAATCAGCTAGACTTCTGGAGTCTCCATGCTCTGCCACTTACGAAACATGTGACATGGGAGGTTTTTTCCATCTCTTTTCCTAATCCGTTCAGTGACGCTAGTAACACGTTCCTCGCCTGTTCCTTGTGAAGGCTCAGGAAATGCCTCCTTTCTCCTACTACCCTCACAGACCTATCCGTGAGGGTAGTAGGTTGATTTAGGAAAATAACCGGAATGCATCTGAATAGGATTCAGAAGAAAACTGGGTGAGATTTTGGATAATACTTGTGGATTTTTCACTAATTTATGCACCAAATTTTGAACCTTTCTGGTGAGAAGTTCTGTGGGGATCCAGAGGTAAATGAGGCTCTCCCTGTGTGTGGAAGGTGGGAGAGGTGGACATACGGGCCATATTCAGAATGCAGGGCAGAGGGAGCTCTGGGAGTGAGCCATAGTAGCCCCAGGGAGGAGGGC